ATAAAAAGCCAGATGCTGAAATCCTCAAAAACACTTTATTTTGGATGTCAGAATTAACACATACCCAAATTAAGAAGCCTGATTTTAAAAAGACTGGCAAATATCTACTTTCTTTAAATCAGACATTTCTGTGTGATTTTATCCTCGGTACAGAAAATCACCCCGGCTTAGGAAAACCTTCCCAGTACTTTCTATAAAGAGTTCTGCACACAACTGGAAATAAAATATCCTGAATGATTTCTGAGTTTCCTGCAGAGCCATTAAGCAGCTCTGGTCTCTGACTATTCTCTCTGTGTCAGTTCCAAACGGACTAAGAAGGATAGCAGGATTCCCAAATCCCGCCGGCAAGAGCAGCCAAGAGCTGCATCTTGCCAACTCTGGTGCCCTTCAAGAAGAGGCGAAGAGGTAGAACAAGGCTTCATTCTCTGCTACTGTTTGATGCACTGCTATACAGTTCAGCCACAGGCAATATACGTCAGCAGAAAGAAATCTGAATAAAAACATCAACCACAAAATTACTAAAGAAATCCTTTTATTCTCTAGAAAAAGAAAATGCAACAAAATAAAATAAATCTTTATCCATTTGAATCAGTCTTTAGAAACTGCTTAATAATAAAGGCATCCCACAAAAGAACCAACAGTTGCTGCCAGGGCTCAAGGGCTGTCAGCAGTTCAGGGCACCAAGGTGCCTCTGTCCTTATTTGCTGCTGCCAGCGAGCTGCTGTGCAAACTTACAGCGGTCCTCTCCCTCTTCACACCTCAGTTTTCCCTGTCCATAAAATGGAGATGAAGTACTTAACATAGCAAATACCACTGAGATCTAAGGACAAAAAAATATCCACAAAACAGATTCCCTGTCATTATTTCAAAAATAATCTATTGTCTGCATCTCTATGTCTGTTTGTCTTCATTTAGGGGCTCTGTATAATATTTGATTTTATACTGTATTGAATGAAGGTTACATAGGGATCGCTACTGAATTTATGATCAATAGAAAATTGCCTATTTTTCTCCCAACCAATTCTTTCCAATGATCCAGCAAAACACATCAATAAAAAGCTCTGAATTGACGCTGTTTCCCTATTTCATGCCCTGTTTAAGTTCCCTGGGGATGACAGATTAATTTAATTAGTTTTATTGAGCTGCCTAGTTGCTTTTATTGGCAAATCTACTCATACAAAGAAGGCTGCAAATTTCTCTTGAGGTTAGCATTGTCCTACTAGTCCATTTTTAAAAATAAAGTGAATTTACTGTCATTTCTTATATAGCATTCTGTTGTGTTTTCATCTGTTAGGCTTACATTTGTAAAATGCCTTCACAGGCACTTATGTAGGAAGTTTAAAGTTGTTGTTTTTCCTAAACGTGGTTAACGAAAAGAGGAAGCAGACAGCTACTGTCAAATGGACTGTGAACTAAATACATCTCCCAGCCTTCACTGGGGAATTCAATTAATCTGATGACAACAAGAGAGGCTCAGGCCCTTGCATGTCATCTGGGAGCAGGGAAGTGGTCACTCACTTTCCAGCCTCCTCTACTTGTCAGCTTGCTAGGCACAAAAGCTTCAGAACGACAGCTCTCAGCCTACAAAATACACATCCACGGTTCCGTTTACTTGTAGAGGCGTCTGACCAGAGGTCTGAGACCCAAAGTCAGTGCCAGGCAGCATGAGGTATTTGAAATAGAGACAATGGAACAGCTGGATTTAATGCCAGCAGTTAAATGCTCAGCACCATGGAAAAACTCTGAACCTAAACTTGGATAAGAATTGTGTTCCTGGAAGCATTTCTGTATGCAGCTGACTAGCTTCAGGATCTCACAGCTCTAGAAGTGGGAGAGGAGCAATTGCTTGGGCCCTTCTTTATTTTTCTCTGTATTTCCTGTAAAAGGTCAAAGGAGATATTTTATGCTCCAGGGAATTTCCCAATCTTCTGCTGAATTTAGAAAAACAAGCAGATGCTGTCTGCTAATTTTGGATCCCACAGTTCTTTTTATCACGTTTCAAAAACTCTAAGATCTGAAAGAGCCTCCTTGACCTGTGTGGTATATTTTAAAAAGTAGGGATTGAGTCTATGTCAAATGGATTTTGTGCCCAAAGTAGCCTTAGAAGTGTGTAGCATCGAAGAGCCCACTCATTGAGCACAGCTACACAAACCTGTGTCATCAATTTCTCTGTTATTTCAACTCTTCTGAGGCTCTTAGGGCTCACAAGACTGAAGGGTCAACAGATAAATCCAACTGCACAGTCAACACATCACTTTTAAGATTTTTTTTTGACTTAAACAGCATAGGAGAGACAACTGCAAAGTAAATGCTGGTCAACTGTTTTACTATCAGATTATTCAAAGCTAAAAGCACAAACAATCAAATCTAAATATATAATGTGACATAAGCATAAGAGGTACAGTGATTCTAAGGGCAACAAAAATGAATGTATCAAAATCAATGACTAATAAAATTATTCCTCTTATGGAATGTCCTTGCTCTACATTTGCACAAAAGACATGGTCAATTTTTCTCCAGAAATTGCAAGCTTCTGCAAAGCTTTACAGACAGCATGAAAATTTCAGTCCTCTGGTCTTGTGCTGAACTAGTTAATTATATTACAATAGGTTCACCAGCCCTTTCACATATCTATACATCTTGTTAGTACCATCCTTTCAACAAAAAACATACTTTAGGTCCCATGCATAGGAAAACTACTTACAGTCCTTACAAGAACTTACAAGAATTTTAACCTAAGCTTCAAGTGTAGATTCACTACACGATCAAAAAAATGATTAAAATTAATACCAATTGGGTAAGAAGTTCTGCCATATTTTCTAAATGTTATGCATTTAAAACATACAGACCACTTTCTGTTGGAATAGAAATGCTTTAAATGCTGGCACTGTTTTTAAAGGATACTTAAGTAAGTTTATTCACCATCTATCTTTAATAGATGTGGTAGAAGTGAGGTAAAAGCCTTCCTATAAGAGCTACCCCAATCCTTCTGTCACAACACACTTCAAAACAAGCAGACTCAAATAGTTACTTTCATAGGAATACCAATGTCAGGAAGAGTAAATTCTTATATCAAAGATACAGTTATGTATCTATTTAAACTACACACATATCACTAAATAAATTACACATACTTTTGAATTACTTTATTTTATCTCCAAATATTGTTCTATTAGAGCTAAAGGAATATTCTCTTAACTACCAAAAGAGTAGGATCTCTATTCCTACTCTCTAGAGTAGTCAAAGGTAATGTCACACATTCAGATATACACAGACAATGTTATAAAAATAAGACTTTCTTTTATAGGATATTAGCAAACCTTCAAAAGCCTATAAATTCAGGGATCTAAAAATGCACTAAAACTCATTTTCCCATATTTACAGGAATGGGAATAGTGTGTCAGTAGATCTTCTAGGAGGATATTCATAGTCTGAAACAGCTCTTTCTAGATATCCCAGAATAGACAAAGATGCTTATTTTTTTTATACTTGAAGTATGTATTCTTTTTGATTTCATTCTGTGTGAATATAACAAATGAAAAAAATTAAACAGTGCTTGGGAGCTCAGATTCCTATGAGATGCTGACCAGAGCAATGAAAAAACTTCTGGTGCAAATATCTTTGCAATCATTTGTAATCCCTAGCAAGGGAACTAATACAAATTCATGCACAAGTAAAAATCACTTTATATAAATATGGTAGCTGTGAAATAAATGGGATCTAATTAATTATGTTTGTTTTTTTCTGGTTCTAGTACTATGACAGCCAAAAATCTCAATCAGATGGTAAAGATATTCAAGGAATCTTTTTAAAGGCCTTATATATGTTTACGCCCAAGCCTGAATAGATGTGTAGGTTAATTGTGGATACCAATAGATTTCTCCATACCGAATTACGCACAAGTGCAAATTCTAACACTTGAGCACATTGTGCAAAGATGCAGTCTGTTCATCTACACCATTATCAGGTCAAATTCAAAAAGCTAACCTGAAAATGGTCAGATTTTTTTTTTCTTAATATAATAAACAGAACCACAAACTTACCCCACAATAGGTAGATGAGCTTCTGACATGGAAATGAAAAGTTCTGGAGCCTACTAACAGCCTTATTAAGATATCACAGTTGTTTTATTTCAATTATTTTGTTGAAAGTCAAATGACTATTTTTTCAAATGCAAAATATGGAAACTAAGACTGTGATATATTTTAAAGTATTTTTGCACTCTTCTGATGCTAAAACGCCTTGTGTTTTAAGTGGAATTTTTGCAGGTTATTAGTTTATAGTGCAAACCAGTGCCTTTGGGTATTTTTAAAGGAAAATGAAGATAGGAGGAAAACAATCTGAATTGTTTTGTTTATACCAGAATAGTATTTCTTAGTATTTAATTCAGCTAAAACTCCACCTTTTATACATACACTCTTGGTGGCAATGCTGTAGTGACTATCAAAGCAACTGAACTACATGCTGAGGCTTTTTGCAAGTCGCATCATGATGTGCAGCATCCTTTTAAGATAGGAGTTATCCCCAGTGTATCAATCATACATAAAGAAGCCTGGAACCTAATTTCCAGTCCTCTTATCTCATCCCCCAGCGCCTCTTTTCTTTTCTATTTTTTTACTGAGAGTAGAGACAGAAGGCTGCCATAAGATTATTTCTGTGGCAGCTTCCATTCTCCCACCGGTTTTCTGCTCAGTGTCTGTGACTGACACTTAGTTCTGCCTGAAGGACAAGGACAAGGCAGAGTTCTGAGTGCCAATCAATGGAGCATGCCACATCATGTAATTGGAAAACACAGTGCTTCTGAAATAAAATGAGGATATCATTCTTAGTACAAGACCATTAGACCATTTAAAATGAGGATATCATTCTTAGTACAATGGTCTTAGCTGCAGTCAAGAGAATTATAACTGAGTAATATGTAACTCACATTCATTTTTATGACTTCTGATTTAATGTGGCCAGCAGAAATGAACCTGAGCTACAGAATCTGGGTTCTAAACTTTCTATAATTCAGCAATGTTCACATCAGCATTAAGCATCCCCCTCCCCCCTGCTCTTTAATACTTTCATTTCATCTGCAAAGCATGAGACCTTTTCAGCCTAATCACCCTAATCTGATGTCTCTTCATCCAAGTTATCTGCACAGCCAGCTTGATGCATACCACAGCATAGTACAGCAGCCCTGTGTTAATAATACAATGAAAGTATTGAAATTGCACAACCCTAACCTCAGGCCATCTCGTACTGCTACCTACCCGCATTCATTATGCTCTTCCTCTTTCATGGATGCTTCCTTAGAAAAATGATGCAAGATTTACTTAGGAAGAGCCAACCTGTATTTCCAGATAGTCTACAATGCTCCGCCTTTCTAAATGGAGTGAAATGTGGCTCACAAAGATATGTAATTTGCTATGTTGACCACCTCTGGAGCCATACCTTAGCAGTCTCCTAACCAAATTAAGGCAACTTCTTGTTGGGGATTCCACTGCTGATAGGAAAAGCAAAAACATATGCAGGATTTGCCTAAGGTCACAGAGCAAGTGAGTAACAGAATGACAGTAAACAACATTGCTGCTCTTTTTACTTTCCCTTCTTTCTGTAATTTCTAATGGTATATTCTGGAAGTTACATACCTTTCAAAAGGTAAGTAAATGTATTTAGAAACTCTTCATACGACTGCTCATGGCTATGGACAAATTGATCAAGGATGCTGTTGTTTAGGAGTTGTTCTTCCATGATCCACAACCTTTATCAGCTTTATCAGGTTTCTCCTGCAATAAAAAAGAAAGAATCCCATATTTTTGTAGGCAGAAAAATTAACTGAAGAGTCCCTAGCTCACACGATGAGCGTCTGATTTTTCTTTCCTTGTGAAGGCCTGATCTCTCTCATTGGGAATTTATGCAACAATTCCCGCTATATTTCAGTGAACATAGTTATTTTAAGTGTAAAAGGAGAGGCTGGCAGCATGTTTGACTAAAATTTATGTTCTCGAGTAGAATGTGGGCCACAGAAGTGCCGACCTCTCTCAGCAGTGTTCCTTCCCTCTATTTTAAGTTGCTCAGTTTTACAACCTGTCAATCCCCTGCTTTCTTTGCCGAAACAGTGACAGCACTCACCAACATGTTGGATTTCATGACTGGGACACCTGTACATTCAGAGTTTGGACTGAATCCATCGTTTTGCAGGTGCACTGTTCACTCTAAGCCACTAAAGCTACTAAAGCCACTAAACCCAGATTTTGGAGGGACACATTAAATCATGCTGACGTGTGCACGCTGAGATAGCCCATGGGACAGAGGGTATGATGGATTTTGGCAGTTGCAGAGGAAAGCGTAGATCCCATCTTGCCAAGGGAATAAATGTTGAGAGCTGAAGGAACACTGTGGATGCTTTTCTTCACTTGAAAGCTCCACTCTTCCGTCAGTCAGCAACAGCTTTCCAGTTGATCTTAATTACTTCAGCAGACTATAAGGGAAGTAATGGCCCTGAAAGAGCTGTCAGTGAAGTATGCTGAAGTTAACATTGCCCAGCACTTGTAAAAGCTGTGTAAATGCTGTTGTTAACATTGTTAAATACTTAATAGCATTACTGATTTTTCATATATATATATAGAGCCAGGCTCCAGAAAGTAGAAAACTCAGACCAGGGCACGAGTACACATAATCAGCACATAATTAAAACACAAGTGTCTCAAACATGGTGGCAGATTAACTAAAAATATGTAAATAACCAGTTGCACACATCAATCATGATAACAGCTCAAGAATGCTTTATACACTTAGTGGTTGCTTTTCATGTGTCCCCATGTTTCTTGACTTGATTTATCACAGCATTAAAAAGTGTCCTTTGGGAATGAAAGCTTAATTCCTCAGCAAAACTGCAGATCAGCTACACTAAGAAAGGGCTGTCAAGCTTACTTACGAAGTAAGATCGATCAAGAAACGTTCAGAACCTAGCAGGAAAAGAAAGCATGATTTCCAGTGTCACACTAATTCTGTTGGACTGCCAGCTCATAAAGAAGGCCCATGTTCTGAAGATATAAAAACACATGCATACCCGCATGACCTAATGCTTGAAAAGTTTTTTAATGTTTTACTAAAAACAGGCCAGTATTAATCTCTTTGTGGAATGACCAAGGAAAATGTCATTTAGTAGACACTCAGAGTGGTTTGTGCAAATTATGGTTGTTTCAGAGGGAAGCAATGCCCTCCTATTCCTCATTACTGTGCAGTTACCACAAGCACTGCTTCAGATACATTTCATTATATCAATAACTCTAGTGACTGGTAAGCCCACCATCAAAGAAAAAAACATATATATCTCCATATATTTAACCAAGACTAATGGTAATAGCAACCTTTTGTTTGTTTTTTTGGCACCTGGCATGTAGGCTCTCAAGTCTTTCATAAACACTACTGAAACAACACAGTAGTCCTGTGAGGAAGAGCAAACAAATATTATTCTCAGCTTTCTCATTTATTATTGAGTTACAGAGGTTTAAATGACTTAATAACAAATCAGAGGAGGGCTGCCAATACAGCTTAGGCTCCCTTACTCTAAAATGTTCTAGTAGGCTAGAAAATTGATAAGCAATTTGGGGGAATATTTGCATCATTAACCAAACACAACACCAGCTTTCTCAGTGAATGCTGTATTTTACAGACACTTGAGCATCAATTTGAGAATTAGTGCCTAGATTAAAGTTTTAGCAAAATATTTCAGCTGAATTTTCACTCAGCTGCCCAGCTTCTATTTTCTACAGAATTTGGGAAACTTCACTTCAGGTTTTAACATCCTCTTCTGGTTAAGTTCAGGGGGGTGTGCACTTTGGAAAAACACCATATTTTGACTTCTTACAGTTAGCTAGGAACTGCAGTGCTGAATTCAACTTGACAAAGTGTAGACAAACTACATATGTAAAATCCTGAACATCAGCCCCATAAAAAAACATACTGGATGCCCTTAGAATCTAATCCAATATTTAATATCTGAAATCTCATTACGTACTTTAAAGAGGAAGTTATCCCAAAGGTTTTACATTAATATATTTCACTGAGCCTATATACTTCCCCCTAGCATGCATTTCAAAATACACGCACTGGGGGAAACTTCCAGTGCTACTTTTTTAAAAAAACTAGTTGAGAAAATTCCCCAGGTTTCAAAGCATAGACAAAGATCACTTTCTCAAGATTGGCAACTTTTTTGCACAGGAAGGGACCAAATTTTTATCCAAGTCAAACCACCTACACTGAGCAACTGCCCTGCAGTCAATACAGTTATTGCAGGCTGACACTAATATAAGGCAGACACTAATATATCAAGGCATCTTGGTAAAGGAAATAAAATAACATACAATCTGTATGCCACATTCCCTTAATTTTTGTTCTGAAAAGCACAAAGAACACATTGAAACATGAGTTCACTTAACTATTCATTCTTTGACATATCTTAAATTGGAAAAGAAGGGAGAAAACAAACCCAAATTGTGTTACTGACATCGGTCTGCTCATTCATCGCCGCTGCGACTGAAGGACTAATAGTCCAGCACAGATCTACTCTTCTCTTCCACTTCCATAATGCTCTAATTTACCTCTGCAGAAGACTGGAGAGCACAGATAGGAAGAACCAATAGATCCTAAAGAAAGCTTAGTTTCTATCAGGCAAACACCCATTTACTCACACAATGGAAAGGAGAGATGGACAGCTAGAACTACCAGTCCCAACTGTTCTCAATTACTTTGAAGAACTGCAGGGTGCCATTTTGTCACTCTAGATGAAAGCAAGCACAGAGATTGGTATTTGGAGAACATCCACTATTCCTAAACTGGACATATGTTTAGGATGTATGGTACTAGAGATGATTTCAGCAACTTATCTCAGCATTTCAAGGTTTTTTGCATTTTTGATTTTCCTTCCAACTTGATTTTCTGCTGCTCCCCACCTACTTTATCCCTGAGCCTATATTAAATGAACACCATACTGTGTCAGCTGCTGAGAAGCTTTGTGTCATGATCTCCTGAAAGCAAGCTGACCAGGAGCCTTTGCTAGAGTGCTCCACAAAAATAAAGGGCTGCAGCAATCACCTAGTTCACAGCATCAAGGCAATGACTTCTTTGAACTTTTAGAGAAAGGAAAAAATCTAGGTTCTTTTCATTTATAATAGTGGATTAAAATCACCCCTAACCTATGAACTGGACACAACCAAACCTATAAGAATGAAATGACTGTCTTTTTCTGCTAGGGAGTAACTACCACTGAAATCAAGAACTTACCTTCTTTCTCCCAAGAGGTATCAAAGTAACTCAGAGGTTTCAAGGAGAGCAAGCAGGGATATCTGATGATATCTGATCCTTCCCCTGTGTTAGCTCTGGAGAGTTTTAGAGTCAAATACCACTAAATGATGCATTCAAGTAGCAACTACACTTTCTTTTTGCATTTAAATCCTGCTCATCCATCCAAATTACTGTAATGAGGTTTCTTGAGGCGATCATTCATTAAGCCTTGCTGATCATCAGCAGATTGCGCAAAATCAATTTTATTTCCCAAAATGCAGTCATCTTCCCAGCAGTTTAAGCCAGACCAGAAATCTCTGCAGTGAATCACAGAGGCAGGTCAACTGAGTATTAGCATGATTTCAATTACACAGTTATTAATTCTATTACACGATGAAAAATGTGGCAGAACATCAGCTTCCTGTTTTACACTGCATTTTTGAGTGCTTTATTATATTTCATTTAACTAGAATATAGGTAATGAAAGCAAAATCACAGTTTTGATTTTTTAAGCTGAAAGAACAGTGAGCTGTCCATCTCTACAAACTTACCAAAATCTTACATAGTAGTAGTATTCATAAAAAAATTACTAAGAATTCTGGCATAGGTTAAATTCAGATTTCCTTACTATGAACTTGTTCTATTAGAAGTCATTCTCAATAAAACTAAGGTTATTCAGAAATATTTATTTGAGATCAGTATTTGCACATGTTAAAGATGTTAAAGACTTAATCCACCTGATGTTCCCAGGATTTTGTAACCTATGTCTATATAAGTTAGATTCAGCACAGCTCCATTCTTGTGACACCTTACACTGTGCTAGCACTGGACAGCGCCTCATCCTTTTCCCTGCACACTGACTTTACCTGTCACAGCTGCTTTTTTTAAAGGAGTCTTTAATATCTTAGATCTAACTAACATCACATAAAAGCAACCCTATTTTACAACCCTCAAAACCAAACTAGCAACACTTTTTTAACACCTCCTGTCCTTAGAGTTTTGATGCTTTGGTGTGAACAAGCAACACCTTCACTGCGGGGGCTCTTTTGGCCTGGCTGGTTCAGGAGGGGAAAAGAGGGGAGGGGAGGGGAGGGGGAAGGGGAAGAGAAAGGAGGAGGGAAGGGAAGGGAAGGGAAGGGAAGGGAAGGGAAGGGAAGGGAAGGGAAGGGAAGGGAAGGGAAGGGAAGGGAAGGGAAGGGAAGGGAAGGGAAGTTATCGCCAGTGAAGCGGGGGAACGCGATGAGGAAATACCTCGGCAGGGTGTCCTCTTGGGCAATGCGGCTTGGGGATAGGCAAGTCTTAAGAATGCAATAAGCTCTCAAGGGACCACGTACAGATTCACCTCCTTGCAGGGATGGGGAAAAAGGAGGCTGTGACTGAGGACATTACAGTCGCCTGCCTGACACAGTCCAAGAGCCACATAACAACAGGCTGTCTCTTAAAAACAGCATCCCAATCTGCCCACCAGGCAACAGTACCAAA